GAATAGAGGAGGGAGAGACGGACGAGAGAGAGATCTCGCGACAGAGCCGCGCGCGCGTCGACAGAAGGACCACACCAGAAAGAAGCGCGGAGGAGGGGAGAGGTCAGGGGGACGAGGATGGAAGAAGTGGCGGGGAAGGGTAGGGGGTTATTAGAATGGGGAGGAGGAAGGTAGGACATGGGGAAGGATGGGGAGGGGAGGGATGGGTAGGGACAGGGAAGACGGTGTGGAGGGGCGTGGGCGGTTTAGCAGGCATTCAGTGGGCGTCAAGATCGTCATGAACGAACGAACGACCGCGGATGAACGCTCGTTGTTGTTCGGCCGTGGCCGCCCCCCAAAGTGAATACCACGCGCTAGTGGCGTCGTCGTCGCGCGCGCACGGGTTACACACCGCCCATCGCGCTGACGCCGCGAGAATTTGCAACGCCAGCGCACCACCTCTGACGTTGAGTCGTTGTCCGTCCCGAGGTGGCCCCATCGTGGCTACGCGTGTCTACGAGGTGGCACCATGCGTGTAGGTATCGTAGCGTGTCGGGGCGGTGCTGACGCGTGTAGGTATCGTTAAGCGTGTCCGGGGCACAGGCGCCACGCGTGTAGGTATCGTAGCGTGTCGGGGCGGCGCCACGCGTGTAGGTATCGTAGCGTGTCGGACGGCGCCCCACGCGATGTGAGGTATCGTAGCTGTCGGCGGCGCCACGCGTGTAGGTATCGAGCGTGTTCGGTGGCGACTGCCACGCGGTAAGGTATCGTAGCGGTCGGGCGTGCGCACGGCGTCGTAGGTATCGGTAAGCGTGTCGGGGGCGGTGCCACGCGTGTAGTATCAGTATGCGTGTCGGGCTGGCGCCACGCGTGTAGTATCGTAGCGTATCGGGTGCCCAGGTGGCGCCACGCGTGTAAGGTATCGTAGCGTATCGTGCGCTATACTCTCTCTCTCTCTCTCTCTCGAAAGCGGAGAGAGGCGGGAGTTGCGCGATCATCGTTCGCTCGTGGCACATGGTGGCGTGTAATGTTAAACGTATATACAAGGTTACACATTTCTGCTCACTTCTTCAACCTCCTCCTCTTCCTTCATCTTCTTTTTCTTCTTCCTCCTCCTCTTCTTTTTTTTATTCCTCCTCTTCTCCATCCTCCACCTCTTCCTCCTCTTCCTCCTCCTCCTCCTCTTCCTTCATCTTCTTTTTCTTCTTCCTCCTCCTCTTCTTTTTTTTATTCCTCCTCTTCTCCATCCTCCACCTCTTCCTCCTCTTCCTCCTCCTCCTCCTCTTCCTTCATCTTCTTTTTCTTCTTCCTCCTCCTCTTCTTTTTTTTATTCCTCCTCTTCTCCATCCTCCACCTCTTCCTCCTCTTCCTCCTCCTCCTCCTCTTCCCCCTCCTCCTCCTTGTCTTCCTTCTTTCCCGTCTGTCTAGTCACAGTCACAGGTTTCGCTTGGCGTGTGTCACACTCCCGCAACGACGACGTTGCCGCCGCCGCCGCCGACGACGACGACGACGCCGACGACGACGACGACGACGACGACGACGACGACGACGACGACGACGGCAGAAACTACCTAATATCACAAGTCCTTCGTCTTTCCGCCGCCGCCGCCACCAGGTGTCGCCTCCGGTCCGGCCTCAAGGCGATCGCGTCGACGGATCGCGCGCAGTGCGCGTGCGCTCTTCCACCAGGCGGCGCTGCCGTCCATGTCTTACACCACCGGGTGGCGTAGTACTGCGGCTACACGTTCGTCACGTCCGCCACCAGGCGGCTACTCGCCGCGCGACGTGCGCTTGCGCTTCCTCGCCAGGCGGCGCCGCGCGTTCTCGACGAAATCGCTCGAATCGTCCCTCGCCAGGGGGCGCCCGCTACACGCTGTTCGCGTAGTGCGCCGCCGCCGCCGCCGCGGACGACACGCAAGACGTGAGGTCGGCCGGGGTCATCGACGAGGCCTGCGCGGGGGCGCCACCGTGCGTCTGAGCGGCGTGCACGATGTCCTCGGCGTTGGGGCAGCGCGGCCGCGGGCCCGGCTCGGGCGTGTAGGTGAACGTGAGACCCGTCGCGTAGATGATGCCGTCGTTACGCACGAGCGACACCGGAACCTGTAACCACGGCAACGGTGACGAGATTAGCGCGAGACGATGAGGGGGAGAGGAGGAGGGGTCGGGTTGGGGCCAGGGTTAGGTTTGGGGTTAGGGTCAGGGTCAGGGTTAGGATTAGGGTTAAGGTCAGGATTTGGGTTGGGAGTTGTGGTTAGGATTAGGGTTGGGGTTAAGGTTAGGTTGAGGTTGAGGGTCAGGGTCAGGGTCAGGGTTATGGGTTGGGGTTAGGTTTAGGTTTAGGGTTAGGGTTAAGGTTGGGGTTAGGATCAGAGTTAGGGTTAGGTTTAGGTTTAGGGTTATAGGTTGGGGTTAGGGTTAGGTTTAGGGTTAGGATTATGGTTAGGGTTTGGGGTTAGGTTCAGGGTTGAGACAAAAGTTAGATTTATGGTTGTGGTTGGCATTGGAGTTACGAAAATACTTGACACAAAGTTTACATGTCAGGATTATGGCTTTTCTTTAAACACTAGCACGTATTCAAGTGTAACGTAATGAAATAAAGTAGAGTGTCGATCAGTAAAACAGCTGTTTCTAACAGTAGCAGCAGCATCTTCTTACCTGCGTTGGCTGCCGCACCCACTGCCAGCCGCCCCTGAATGCTGAGATGTCCGGCACTACACACAGCATGCTCTCTTCACACCTGCACATAAACACATAGTGATACACGGTCACGCTCATGTCGCCAAAGTTTGAATAAAAGTAATTGAATAAAAAGGAATGCCATTTTCTCATTTTCTCGTGTCTTAATTTTCATAGCCGTACACGGTCACACTCACGGTGCTAAATTTTGAATGAAAATTTCCCATTATACTTTCTCATTTTAGGAAAAGTACAAAGTAGTTTTCAAACCATTACGACTTTTTATCTGACAGCAGAAACACAGTGCATTGCTAAGTACATCTTCTGTGAACTGGTTAGAAGTCAGTTGAAAAAGTTAAGTTAATAATTATTTAATAAAATTGATAAATAATAATGATAGTATAGCATAGTATAGTATAGTATAGTATAGTATAGTATATATAAAAATAATTTTACACAATATCTGTACTGGCTTATGCAACGAAGTTATTTAACGGCGAGAGAGGGAGTTAATAACTGTGGAATGGTTCTCATATGTTTGCTGCTAGGCCCATAGATGGCGCACCTGTACATCGTTTCCGCTTCCACGTCTCCGAACCAGACCTTCAGGTTTGGTGAGAAGTTTTCCCCTGTCAGTTCCAACATGGCCACGTCTCCACCTCCATTGAGCTAAATGAAAATGGCCAAATGTACTGCAAAGCTCTAAAAGGGTCGTCAAAGGTCAGAAAGAATCATCAAAGGTCGACATTTTGGCTTGAACTTGAAATAGGGGACTTACATTAAGGCAGTAAGGACTTACATTAAGCATCAGCAGGGACTTACATTTCAGGCAGCAGCACGGGACTTACAGTGAGACAGCAGCAGCGAACTTACATTAGCCCCAGCAAGGACTTACATTAAAGGCAGCAGAGGACTTACATTGAGCCAGCCCAGCAGGGACTACATTGACCATCAGCACGACTTACTTGAGGCCAGCCAGCAGGACTTACATTGAGCAAGCAGCCAGAACTTACATTGAGCCACAGCAGGAACTTACATTGAGACGTAGCAGCAAGGGACTTACATGAGACAGCCAGCAAGGGCTTACATTGAGGCAGCAGCAGGACTACATTGAACAGGCAGCAGGGACTACATTCAAGGCAGCAGCAGGGACTTTACATTGAGACAGCAGGGATTTACAATTGAGCAGCAGCAGGACTTACAGTGACCGGCAGCAGCAGGGACTTACATTGAGACAGCCAGCAGGACTTTACATTGAGAGCAGCGCAGGACTTACATTCAGGGCAGCAGCAGGGACTTACATTGAGGACAGCAGGCGATTTACATTGAGGCGCCAGCATCGACTTACATTGAGACAGCAGCAGGCGACGTACATTTAGCAGCAAGCAGGGACTTACATTGAGCAGAGCAAGACTTACATTGAGGCAGCAGCAGGGACTTACATTGAGGCAGCAGCAGGGACTTACATTGAGACAGCAGCAGGGACTTACATTGAGGCAGCAGCAGGGACTTACATTGAGACTCGTGACTACAGGCACGGGAGTGACGGGGTCTCGCACGAGGCAGCAGCAAGGACTTACGTTGAGACTCGTGACTACAGGCACGGGCGTGACGGGGTCTCGGACGAGGCCCATGCCTTCGAACCACGTGTACTCGGCCTTGTCCGTGCTGATGATCGTCCACGACGCTCCGTCGTTAATCATCTCCTTGTTCGGCTCCTTGGGACACGGCGTCGCCTGGGTTACGGAGGTAAAACATACACATTAGCATCCTTGGGACACGGCGTCGCCTGGGTTACGGAGGTAAAACATACACATTAGCATCCTTGGGACACGGCGTAGCCAGGGTTACGAAGGTAAAACATACGCATGGTTAGTGTTTATTGTAAATAACATATATACAAGCTTACTGTCTGACCAGTACATGGGAGCTTAGCATCATAGAGACACGGCGTAGCCTGAGTTACGGAGGTAAAACATATACATGGTTAGTGTTAACTCACCAGTACATGGGAGCTTAGCATCATAGGGAAACGGAAATAAAATCATGCCCTGTCATATGAGATATAGTTAGAGACATTAGCATCCTTGGGACACGGTGTTGCCTGGGTTACGGAGGTAAAACATACACATGGTTACTGTTTGACCACTACATGTATACTTAATAAAAGCACACCCTCACATGAAATGTAGTTAGGGATGAAGAAGAACATGATGATGAAGAAGAAGAAAAGGGTGACAAAGATGAGGATTATGACGGAGGAGAGGATGAAATAGAAAGAGCAGAAGATGAAGAAGAAGAAGATGATGATGAGGAGGAAAAAGATACTTCTACCTCTCCAGTAACAGATTTTACTGTTAATCCACACAACTACAACAAATCACTGGCCCGTTTGTTGTCTTACCTGGAACTGTTATGATTCTTTTCTGAGATAGACAGAGCTAGGTACGTACCTGGAACTGTATGATTCTTTCCTGAGATACACAGAGCTAGTACGTACTGGGAAACTGATGATTCTTCCTTGCAGATAGACAGAAGCTACGCGTACGTACCTGGAACTGCTATGATCTTTCCTGAGATAGACAGAGCCTAGTACGTACTGGAACTGTATGATTCTTTCCTGAGATAGACAGAGCTAGGTACGTACCTGGAACTGTATGATTCTTTCCTGAGATAGACAGAGCTAGGTACGTACCTGGAACTGTATGATTCTTTCCTGAGATAGACAGAGCTAGGTACATACTGGCAACTTTATGCATTCTTTCCATTGAGATAGACAGGAGCTAGGTACCCGTTACGCGCAACTATATGATTCTTTCATGAGATAGACAGAGCTAGGTACGTACCTGGAACTGTATGATTCTTTCCTGAGATAGACAGAGGTACATTCTCTCCGTGTCTTTCATGTAGAAGGCACACTTGTGCAGCTGTGATACCGGGTCGTCTGCATCCAACATGGCCGTCTGCTTGTCCACCTTACGGATGATCTAAATAAGACAGAGAGAGAGGTAGGTTAGAATTGTTCACCTTACGGATGATCTAAATAAGACAGAGAGAGGTAGGTTAGAATGGTTGACCGTTGTCTACACGAGAGAGAGAGAGAGAGAGAGAGAGAGAGAGAGAGAGAGAGAGAGAACGAGGAGATCGAGAGAGACGAGAGAGAGAGAGAGAGAGAGGAGTAGAGTTAGCGTCTAGGATGGTCTCTTAAGAGTGATGTCAGTGTTATATAGATAACTGCCCACCGTCCCCCGAGTCTAGGAAACATTCTGGAACACAGAAGAGACTGAGACTTCAGTGTTGGGGATAGCAGTAAGGGACTGGTAACTCCCTCCCTCCCTCATCTATGCGCATGTACCATCATCTCTCCCTCCTTCTCTTCCTTTCTCCTCCCTCTTCCCTCGCTTCTCCCTCCTTCCCCTCCCCTTCCTCCTGGAGAGAGAGAGAGAGAGAGAGAGAGAGAGAAAGTAGTGTGTGTGTGTGTGTGTGTGTGTGTGCGTGCGTGTGTGCGTGCGTGTGTGCGTGTGGGCGTGCGTGCGTGTGCGTGTGCGTGTGTGTGTGTGTGCATGCGTGAAAGGTTAGTAATGGTCAACTGTTGTCGTAGTGGTGGTTGTGGTTCGTTATTTTTATCCCGTAAGAGTTTAAGGCCATAATTAATGCCCATTACCGGTTTTTATGCAGACAAATAATAAAAAACCAAATTTTTGCTAAAAGTATACTTTTTATGTAAATGTTACGCAATCCCTTTGGAAAAACCACGCCTCAACACGAAAGTATTAAGACTCTGCGACGCACAGGCACTTGGAGCATTTCAATTAAATATAATGCTAAATAAATATTTCGTATTTATTTAGCATTATACTTTATTGAAACCTTCCATGTGCCTGTGCTGCGATCCAAGCAGTATTTGGCTAGATTTGTAGATTTGACGAAAGTAAAAAAGAAGTAAAAAGACGAAATTAAAAGACTCGGCCCATGCAAGTCTCCGACAAGATTTGTAGACGCAGTTACTAGCTAGCATGGGTACATTTCAACGCCCATAAACAGATGTGCAATGGGAAAATGCGCGTGTGAGGGCACAGGTAACAGGTGCGTTCTCCCGTAATTACACTAGCTGCAACTGCAGCCGACTTCGCTCGGGAATTCGTTCTCAAGAGCACACAGTCAGGCACTCGTTCAAGGAATGCGATATTTACTCGTTCAATATGCAAAACGGGGAATGAAACAAAAAACGAAAGGCTGCGAAAACAGCAGCGCGAAGATCGTTACTGCTGCTGCCACCGCGCTGCAATCACCACGGCGAGTTTCATCTGCCCACAAGCGACGAGAGAAACTGCGCGATCGAGAAGCAAGATCAACAAGCAAACGTGCGATTAATAAGCGAATGTGCGACTAGCAAACGCACCTGCAACTAACAAGTGAACATATAACTAACAAGTGAACGTGCAATTAATGAGCGAATGTGCGACTAGCAAACGCACCTGCAACTAACAAGTAAACATATAACTAACAAGTGAACGCACGACACATAGCTAACAAGCGAACACATAACTAACAAGCGAGCATATAGCTAACAAGTGAACGTGCGACTATCAAGTGATCACGAGACTAACACACTCATCTGCAACTAACGAGTATATGTACAACTCACAACTGAACATATATACTAGTGATGGGAATCGGCTGGAATTTCATAATCGATTATCGGTTTCCCTTAACCGATCGAATAATCGTTTATAAATCGGAATTAATCGGTTTAATAATAGCAGTTTCTTATGTAATAGTAGCAATAACAATGTCTTGTTGTCGCAGAAATAGATTCATGACGCACGTCATTTTTCATATAAATATTATTTACATGTGTTAGCCATTCATATATATGCAATAATTACTTGTGAATGCTACAATAAATGCTGTATGAATTTGAATTTTGTAATTGATTTCCAATCCCATCAGACAGCTTTGTGAATTGAAATTATTTAAGTTCTGTTATCGTGCAGTTTGCTCCGTAGCTACGATTGTTTCTGTCAACGCTACTCATCGTAGCATTAAACATTAGTCGCTAAGTGGTTTATCGTAGCATTAACATTAGCATTAACATTTACGGCTGTTTCTGACACACGAGCCCCCTGCCCAGGACTTGTTGCTCTACTTGTCATAATCAATTTCAAGTCCCGGCGCGGATCGTGAGTACAGTCCTTTGTTGTTTTGTTTTTAGGTATTCCGCATAAATCGATTATTGTGTGTTCATACATCGATTATCGAATTTGAGACTAATATCGCATCGATTTTCGATATAATCGATCATCGGACAATCACTAATATATTATACCCCCAGACAAACTAAACGTATAACTAGCAAGCGAACGTGCGCGCGAGGCATGCTGCGCCACCTACCAGCCGCGGCGAGCCGCATGCCGGATGACGGAAACAGACGAGCTTGACGGTAGAGCCGTAGTGGATATAATCCGTCCGCCCGCACAGTAAACTCCTCCGACTCGGACTCGTAGTCGTCGACTGAAACAAGAGAACGTGTTCGCGTGCCAGCCGTGCGTTGGTGAGGAAACTTGCGGTTATATATATATATACATAACTTGATGTATGTATTATATGCATACTTATATATTAATAATGTATATATATATATATTATATGTAATATATATATATATATGTATATATATAAATATATATATATATATATAATATATATACTATATATTATAATATATATATTATATCTAATATATAATTTACCAAACAGGTACAAATGTTATGTGTTATGTGCACGTACGTAGTCAATCTTCTTGTGTAAATGAAAGTTACTATTCCCATGTAACAGGTATTTAATTATATTATATATATATATAATATATATATTATCAAGAGCTAAATAAATACATGGGTTTGTAATTCGTAGTCGATCAATCGGTTTGACCAAAGTAACCGTTGATCGTTTTACATCGTTACTCGGGTGTTGAATGCCTGCGTGTGCATAACCGCGTCGATGTGCTTTGTACGTTGTTGTGCAGTGTATGTGCTCTGTTTTAGCCAGATATTAAAATCCCTATGTGTCCTAGGCTTTAGCCCCGCAACAGAAGTATCTTGCCGGCCAAATGTTTGAAGTGATTCCCGAACTAAAATAAGCGGATGATTATCTCTGGATTCTCATCAGTTTTTCCAATTTTCTTGCTTCAAGTTTTTAACTTTAGCATTTTGTTTTTTTTCTTTTTTATTTCCGATGAATCGGTTATGGATTTTGCATAACCAGAGGGGGCGCTTGCGTTCGAGCCACTGTTCAACGATGATCGAGTATAATCGCAATGATCGTGACATCCACTAAATAAATACTATAAATAATAAGGTATTATCAACTCCCTGATATTATGATACGTACGTAGGTGTATGGTGAAGGCGCCCCACTGGCGTTGAGCGGCGTGAAAAGTTTCCGTTCTCTACTGCAGAACCGGGGCTCACCGTCTCTGTTAGCGAGGCTGTTGAACAGCGGCCACCTGTTGTTCCCGACGACGATGCACACTGCGAAAGAAACAAGAGACGCTCGTTATCACCGTCACCTTCGTCCCAACGGCGATGCACACTGCGAAAAAAAACCAATAGAACGTTCGTCAGCGCGGCCAGCACCCACCTTTGTTCCCGACGCATGACACACGTACGGAGCAGAAAAGCAAGAGAACACTCATTCTAGTGGTGACGGAAAATGCCACAGCCGTCGAGATAACAATAGAACGCATTTCAGCATTGGTGCGCGCACGTGATCATTCGTCGCGACGGCGGACGGCCGGAAAGACCCTCCGGATACAGAATACGTTTTTTTTTCATCGGCGCTAAACACGTGTTTTCGTTTAGGTTCATTTTCAAACTATTTTTTTCTCGATTCGTTTCAGAAAACTTGGTAATAAGAGATCGCGCAAAATAACAGGATGGCGTGCTGAGGCGTTTCGCACTCTTAGTTCGACAGACCACGCGCCAGCCGCGTCGCTGGAAGATGAAATCATCAGGAATTTCTTCGCGTAAAATCTGCCGCGCCGATGGGAAAAAACGCGGTAAGAGAGCAGACGACGACTTTCCGATGGCTGGTAATTGGGGTCGGGAGAGGGGATAGAATTCCTCACGTTATTTTGTGGGCAAAGATGTTATAGAATATATTCAGGAGTTAATGAAGACAAATTTGTCTTCATTAACACCTTATATATATATATATAATATATATAGAAAAATTTAAAAATAGAATAGGTGTCTAAATTTTTATAGGTGTCAAATTTTTTAAAATTTATCTTATCTCTGGTATCCGTGTGTTTTTTACTTATTCGTATATATAATTTATATATATATAATTATATATATAATATATATATATTAAAATTACTGTAGATTCTACCGCTTAGGAATAAAACGTTAAAAAGCAAGAAGGGATTTGGTGCGTAGTCATACATGTTAGGTCGAAAGATTACTAGGTAGAGGTTATGGGCATACATGGATGTTATCAAGAGTAGATAATAACTTGATGTTATGTTATCAGCAGCTTAACATTTATATCAATAGATATAAATACTGCTCCCTTTCCCCTGGCGTGTTAGGCCTAAAAAAGATGATTTTGTTTCCGCTAACAAGCTGAAAAAAATTGGACACGGTAGCCAGGCAAAACTTTTTTTTTATCAATTTTTTTTTTTGTATTCTAACAATACTTGTTTTTATACTTATACACGACCGCATATAATGACTTATAAGTCAAGATCACATGCATTTACCTCGAGTATCACGTTGGGATTTTTTTGTATTTTTTAAAAATATTTTTTTTAATATTTTTTTTTGCCGATCACAATAAAAAGTTTTGACACGGCGGTCTAAAATGGACTCGGTCGGGTTAGCGGAAACAAACGTCTTTTTTTGAGGCCTTACAGACTTCTGCAGCAAGCTACCTCCTCCCCTCCCCGCCCTCCTCCCCACCCTCCTTTCCTCGCCTCGTACTCACGTTCTGCATTCTTTAGCGACTGTTTCTTCTTCGACGGTTTGGAGATGACCTTTATGCGCTTGCTGTGGAATACTCCTATGTCCTGACCACTGCCGTAGAACATCTTCACGGAGAGCATGAAGTGCTTGCGCTTGTCCGAGTCCGATATATACAAAGTCTTCGCCGCCGCATAGTTCTACACAGAGAAAAAATATTGTGTTACGCTTTGTAAACAACAACAACAACAACAACAACAACAACAACAACGACGTACAAAATATGTACAACGTCTTGGCCACTGCGTAGTTCTGCGAAGATATTGTGTTTACTTTATGCATTGTAAACAACAACAACAACAACAACAACAACAACAGCAATAACAACGAGAAGAAGATATGTACAATGTCTTAGACATGTATAGAACTACACAGTAGTTCTGTGTAAAAGAAAAGCATTGTTTTGCAAATAATTACAAGATATGTACAATGTCTTGGCCACACAAGATATGTACAATGTCTTAGACATGTAACTTTTAAGATATGTACAATGTCTTAAACATGAGACCTTGTTCTCTAGGCTGAGCTGCTGCATGTCTTGCTCCTCCCCCTTCCTCCTCTCCTCTCCTCCTGCCGCCTCCCTCTCCTCCTCCTTCCGCCTCCCTCTCCTCCTCCTCGTCCTCGCTCTCTCCCATCCTTCCTCCTTCCTCTGCACCTTGTCTCCTAGCTGAGCTGCTTGCTACTGTCTTGCTCACTCTCTCCTCTCCTCCTCCTCCTCCTCTCCCCCCTCCTCCTCTCTCCGCTCCTCCCGCCGCCCCCTCTCCCTCCCTCCTCCCTCCTCCCTCTCACCTTGTTCTCTAGGCTGAGTTGCTGCATGTCTTGCTCCGAGTTGCCGATGCCCATGAACGCGCAAACCTGTGTACTAGGGTCGGCATCGCCGACCACCTCCATCTGTTCGCGCTTCCGCCGCCAGCCGTCACCAAACAGGTATATGCACGGCGGCGGACAGAAGAACCTGTGAAGAGAGAGAGAGAAGCCATGATGTTAACGAGAGAGAGAGAAACATGAAAGAGAGAGAAAGAGAAAGACATTAAAGAAAGAGAGAGAGAGAGCGAGAGAGAGAGAGAGAGAGAGAGAGAGAGGGGGAGAGAGAGAGATAGAGAGAGAGAGAGAGAGAAA